AACATGATTTTTGAATTGGTGTAAACTAAACACCTTATTTATAAATTTTTCCCAAAAAAAAAAAAAATATTGGTAAGCAAGAGCCGCTCGCGAGCTAGCTCGCCCATTGGGCAAGGAAGGTCAAGGTTTTTTAAAGTGAGTACGAGCTGGCTTGCAGGTGAGCCAAGCCAAGCTCGACACTGTGCATCCAAGATTTGGACTTGTTTTCTTAAGGCAATATGAAATCCGCTCCATCAAATTTTTTAAAGATAATCCTTAAATCAACGACAATATATACTTGTATAGTTGTATCTAATAACAAACGTTAATCGCCATTCACAGCTAAATTTTAACAATTCTTTTATGATTTAAGAAACTCAGAAACAATAACTTTCTCAAGAATTATAGTCCAAGCAAGTCTAGGTTCCAAGAATTAAAGGTATGGCCTACTACACGGACTATACACAACAATATCCAAATACCATGTATTTGGATGTATATCGTAATCTTTAGCGTTTCCTTTTGCACTTGAGCCTTGGTTTACCCTATTCCGATAATACAATCTACCCCAATGTTTCCATGTTACGACATACTAAGCGTGTTCTCCATAGCATATTTCAAAAATTCCTATAAAACTATACCATATGGTCAGGTAAAAATATTAAGAACTCAATACAGTGCAACACCATGCCACTAACCTGTGTAACCTTTTTTCACAAAGCAAATATGTACAATAGATATCAATGGAGGAGATGAGCCGATGAGCTTTTCTTTATATGTTGCATGTCAATAACCATTGTATGTTTCTTTTCGAACACAAGTTGTATTCGGTATATCATTCGAAGGAGGCGGTAAGAATTTCGTAGTGGCTTGAAGTTGCAATAATTAATTATGGCCCAGATATTTCATTTGAAACACAAAGTACAAACGCTTCCTTCTTAAAGCATGGAAGCTATAAGATCCAAACATCAGAAATGCCTGGTGCTGCAATGTTAAGAGTAATGTGAGAATTTACATCACTAACAAATGAGCATCATAACAGAATTCTTAGTGCTTGCACTCCTCACACTGATTCCGGTTTTGAATTGAGAATATAAGTTCTTTTGCCACCTGGCATTAGGTTGGTTGAAGAATCAGAATATTCTCTTTGTATGTATTTTGCTTGTATAAGTTTTTAGGTTGTATGATAAGTGTATTTTGTGCACT